AAGTGAATCTCCAAAGCTTCTTACTGTCAACCTTTGGCAAATCTTGGAGGTTTTCTGCAGAGGCTGTGGCATCCTGTAGGGCTGATAAAAAATGAAAGCGGCTGAATCAATTACACTGCACTCTGCCAATGAATATTTATTAAATTCCATCAAGGAACAACTAACAGTGAAAGACATCATGCTGGCAGTAATTTCAACAAGAGTGCCTTGACGAAGCGTGCTATCCATAAAGTTCCCGGAGAATTTGATTTCCCAACAATGGGGTTGATACGGAGTAATTACGAAACTGGCTCCTTTTGTGGAGTAGCAGAAATTGGTGCCAGGAGCGTTGGGAATCTAAAAATGCAATTAGCCACATGGTAAATCAGACACTTAAGAGGACAGGATTAGACACGTATGCGTTGAGTTTACTTGTTCGAGTGACAACGTTGATCTGTGGCTGTAGAGTTGAGAGTTCTCCAAAGAATTTTAGAAACACCAAATCACTTTCTGAGAATTGTACGGAGATGCCAATGATTTAAGTATAATTTAAAAACAATCCCAATACAAAAACCTGGGGAGGCAGTGATGATGGCAGAATTATAAACTGCTCAGAGAACCGTATGAACTGCCTTTGTATCTCTGCCTAACAACATTTATAGGGCTGTTTAGCAGAAAAAAAAAAACAGCAAACAAAAAAAAAGAAAAAAAACCTTCTAGGTTTGCACACATTTGACTATTCTGTCATCAGTGAGATCATTTATAGATTACAAACGCTGCCTGCCTGCAGTGGAAAATTACGTGCAGTAAGTGAGGCTGCAAATGCAAAGTAATGTTAAATAAATGTTTATTAAATTGAAGTTTCATTTCTCCCGTTTCAAAGCAAATTAGATACTGCCTTATAAAAACAGGGCTCTGTCAGTTCCCACCCTTACACTGAGTATAACTACTTTAGGAAAGCTATAGTATAGGGGACTTTCTCCATCTCGTATGAGGTTTATTTAAGCCCAGACTATGTGACAGAGCCAGCATACTATAAACTCACGCAGTTGTATACGTACATGGTCCTTCAGGTTAGAGCATGTCTGTAGCACCCAAGGGAACTTCAGAGGGTAAGTCCAAACCATTACTTTTACGAGAGAGATGAAATTTCAAAACAGTATACTTTTGGGGGGGGGTTTGACACCTACCTTTGGTGTTTCCCGATTCATTCCTGGGGACGTTGAATTTCGATGACACTGAGTACTTCCTGCTTACTGTCCTGGGAACTGGGCTGTTCAGACAGACGTCGTGACTTGCGTTAAGTCCTCGCTTTCGGGCAGTCTTTAGCAGAGCAGCACCGAAAGGCCTTTGTGAACGTGAGTGTGTTTATCAGCAAGTTCCTGAGGACCTTGGAACAAGTCGTACGTATAGCTGGATCCGTTGGGGTTCAGTATGTGGCTGCTTTAGGCTCCGGGGTATTCACAGCATCGAACTGTAGGCATTTATCTAGAAGTCTTGTAGTTAGAAAGGAGGAGAATTAGGGGAACCTCCAAAGTCCTTATACTTTGTGCTCTGAATCATGCATAGGTTAGATTCCCAAAGCATATGCGAAATACACATTTTCTTACCATTTTCCCAAGATAACTTCGCAGATGCAAGAGGAGGTTGAGTGTTGGCACAGCTACAAGTCATTGCTAGGTGCAGTTGTCTGCATGAAGCAGAAAGGACAAGTTCATGTTTGCTCTGCCACTTGGGACTGAACTAGGAGAAAAAATGAGGCAGAGCGTGGGGATGTACAAGGAGGACGAATTAAATGACGCAAGTGGGATGAGCAGCAGTGAGTATCTCTTGGTACTGGAGGACTTAACGTAATGACCATATAGTTCCACATTTATGTAATGTAGGATAAAAGTCTTCCTGAACGCCAGTGTGATCTCTGCTCTGTGATACTGATTTTTGCCTGCCTGCTCATAAGACCCAACAAGGTTGAACAGGAGAGAAGATACTTTAAGTTTGATTATCTGATGTTTAGAGATCACAAATCTTCTCTGTAACCACAGTTTGCCCCAGGAGATGTAACTGGAAACTCCAGGTCCTCGCTTCAAACAAACACTATCGTTTCATATTAATTCTCTGTATTAGACAGCACTTCAAACATGAAAAGCCTCCAAGGGCAAGGATTGCCTTCTCAGGCCCTCCTCTTAATCTGCTCTTAGTGTTGCCTGCAAAGGAGTACAGCTAACTGGCGTTGCTTAGACCTGCTGCAAAGCATATCAAAATACACTGAAGCTCAACTTCAGTGCAGTTTAGCTGCCTTGATATGCCAATCTGTGGAAAACATCACGCCGAGACCGTCTCTGGAGAACGTGAGGGGAAACGCGGTCTGCATGCCGCAATTACTGCTCAAGCCTGTTCTGTGTTTGGAAGCAATCAGGATAATTGCTTATAACATAGCAGGCCATCAAAGTACTTTTGTGTTCAACGATAACCAAGGAATATGTTGACTATCAGTTAGCGGTGGTAGACAGAAAAAATTTCTGTTTTTTAAAATGTTCAAGAACCTTAGCAGAATCGGCTGATCATCTCTGGTTGCTGGTAATGACTGGAGAACCAAGGCGTGTGTGGTAAATGCCAAAGACTAGAAGAGTGTTGCTGCTTTGCATTTTATCTTCAGTGTTTCAATCATTCTTAGGTAAAACAAAAGAAGTGGTTGATAAAAGATAGGAAAAAAGAGTAGTAGACAGCAAGCTGCCCTTTATTCTGGAGTGATAAGACAGAAGGAGCTAGTGTGTGGTCTCTGGATGTATAAAACATGACTTATGCTAAGCAGGCAGAGAGAGAGGAAATTTCTTTCAAGTTTTGGAGATATAGTTCATGTATCGGTAATGGTCTAAATTTGCTGAGAGTGTGAGCTGCACATGCAGTTAAATCAGAAATTTCTGTAGTTACCAGCCAAGAGTAAGAGTTGAAAGAGGGTCTGCACTGTGTTACAAGTATTAGTTAGTTCTTTGCTACTGTGGAGTAGCTGTAAAATAGACTTTATATCAAAAATCAAAGCACATTCAGTAACTGTCTTCAAGTCAGGTCAGTTCCCAGTCTTCCAGATATTACGAGACTTCAGAAGGGCAGGGGTGAAAAGTCCTAGCAATGCAGGGAACTGTGACAATTATCTGCAGCTCCTGGCTGCAGGAAGGAGTGACCTCGTGCACCAGATGCCCAAATGAAGCTTGCTATGTTCTGTACGTAACAAAAAATGAGCGTTTGTAAATTTTTTTCTGGTGTTTTAGATGTAACGTGGCTGTGACCTTCACCCAGGAGCAAAGTAAGACCGTAGCAGTTAATAACTTAAGAATTATTTAAGGCCAAGCTTTATGCCATGTAGTTATTCAAATAATGTTGCCAACCCCCAGGCTCACATAGGAGGATTATTTGGAAAGTCTCAGAAGACCAAACTACACCGTTCACTCGGGAACATTCACAAAGGAGGACACCTGCTGGGAAGGGTTATGGTGCGGAATGAAGGAAAGAATCCAGTACATCGTGTTAGCAGCCTCGATCAGAAGGGCTGCCTTGCGCTCCCATTAAGGCCTTGAGGGCCCTGCGGCAAAGCCCCTTCTCTGAGGCTGTCTCTCCACAAAGAGTGCCAAGGCACAGATGGGAGCAACACCTGAAATCCCTTTATTTCACAGGGGGTTATTGGGATTGATCGCAGCAGAGGCCGGAGTTTATTTTCCCAGTTATTTTATCTGCTTAAATTGGAGAGAGGTTTCGTAAGAGCTATTCAGAGCTCTTAAATAAGAATGAATGCATTTTCTGTATTTCCAAAAACCTGCAATGATGCTGATCTGTGTTCTGGTTTGCTCTCTTTCGATGACTGGAAGTACAGGGAAACAAAATGGAGCTAATACAATGTACCCAATGCTAAATGGACATCTTGCTAAACAGACCTACAACTTACGTTTATATGTTATATAGTAGCCTTTCCTGGGTATCCTTGCCACCGTGCGTCATGAATTGCATTTTCTGGGAAAAGTGTTTATACTGCATTTGCATGTGTATGTTCTTCATAAGCAGCTTCTTTGTCTGTATTGACAGGTCTCACCAACTCATAATCGTCCTGCAGGGAGTGGAGAGCAGAAACAGTCCCACACAGTTCTTTCATCACCGCCTAGAGTAGCATTTGGCTTGAGGTACGGGACCATTAGCTCCTGCTGACAGACCAGCAGCCTCAGAACCTGGAGGGCATTTAGTAAATAAGATGTCAGCGGCCAAAGAAACAGAAAAACCACACCACCAACCGTGATTGCACTTGTCAGGCAGTTTCTTACTAGAACGCTTCGGAGTAAGCGTCCTGGACCTATTTTGCTTTTCATTACCATCAAAGGTAAAGTTCGGGGGAGCAGTGAGTTGCTGTGAAATGAAAAAGGCAGACCGCGAAGCAAAACTGCAGGCTTTACGCCAGGCATGTCTGGAGTTCAGATGCAGATCTACGTTGCCCTGTAAAGCAATGCTGCCCAGATTCACTGTTCCAGCTGAAGCATCCTAAGCTTAATTAGGTGGCTTTGCTTTTTTCCCTGAAAGGCTAGGCTGTTCGTCACCGTTCAGTCACTATAGTATTTGGCTTCAGTTGAATTATAAGAAACCATATCTTACAATAAATTAGATCAAAGCAAAGCTTTTTATGCCTTGTCTTCCTAGACGTAAGCTACATTCACTTCCATTAAAGTGAACTGATGTTTGACTGGAGTCTACTTTAAAAGTATTCAAAAAGTTATGTTAAAAAATCAAACTGTGGCACTAAATTTCTTACAGTAAAGAAACTCCGTACTTCTCGCACTCCTAAAGGTGACCTGTACCCTAAAACGAGACGAAAGGAAGATTTCATGCTTTTCATTTTTTTCACGACTCTCAGATGATTGCATATGCTACAAACCAAACTTAGGATCTTCCCAGTTCACGGATTGTGCCCATTAATGAATGTTCAGTAATCAAAAAAGGTATAGCTATGCAAGAGAGGAATCACCAGGCGATCCCCCTGTGTGCCATGCAGCATGTAATGCAGGTATTAAACAATTCTGTCTGTACGGTTATTTGATTTAAAGATGGCAGGACAGATGGCACTGCTGTAGCAAGCATTGGGTTACTTGTTGTAGCATGGCTCCTCAGAGTTGCTGGGTTGCTATGAGCCGAATAGAAAAAATTCCATTTTAACAGTTGCTTTGATCATTTTCTAAACTTGAGAACTTTGGAGTGTGGTTATAAGATGACAGTCGTTACACAGATACTGCCTGCCTTGCTGACTTTGGGGATGGCAGAGAAGGAGCACACGTGAACCTGCCGCAAATGAGGGCAAGGGTTAAAACTTTGTTTTCAATCACTTTGTTGTTTTTCAGTCAGTGAGCTCAGAGCAAACCATGCGGGAAGGACTGGCAGCTTAGGAGCTGGTAGCTCTTCCCCTCTTGCGTAGTTGCTACCTGCTGGTAGTCAAGGTCTGCTGCTCAGAGCTATGCAAAAGACTCGCCCCACAGCTCTGCAGCAAAGAGGACTTCTGCCTGACGTGACCTGGGCTGTGTTGTGCCAGAGGTGTGACTGTCCGTTACGGCTTGGCACTTAATGTGCCTGAAGTACCATTTGTCTAGGCCGGGTTTAGTCGCTGGCTGAAGTCAGGGCTGTATGTTCCTGGGATCATCCCTGGAGCAGAGGAGGAGGTTCGGCAGCTGCTGCAGAGGCTGTAGAAGCCAGGTGAGGAGAAGGACCAGTCCCTCAGAGCTGTGGAGTCACGGCCGTGTGTCTGTCTGCTTCGTCAGCTCGAAAACAACCCAGATCCCTTTGAAACGCCGGGGGGGTTTCTCTGCCTGCTGCACTCCGTTGCGGTTGTTGTCCTGATCTGGTGGTAAAGCAAAGCTATGCAAGCGTCTCGTTAACAAGCTTCCCTTTCTCTCTGACAGGAAGCCTAGAGGGGAGGGGAAAAAGTGTCGGAAGGTCTATGGGATGGAGAACAGAGATATGTGGTGTACTGCCTGCCGATGGAAGAAGGCCTGCCAAAGGTTCATCGACTAAAGATTGAAATTATGCAGAGGATTTGGGGATGGGGGAGGACAACAGCAGAACCAGATTGCTGCAGCTGCACTGTATCACTTCCCATTTTCCCTCCAGTGATGTGGTGTTGGGGGTTTGGGGGTTTTTTGGGGTTTTTTTGTTTTGTTTTTTTTTTTTTTTTTTAAAAGAGCTTTGTATTTCAAAGTGAAGCACTTGTAGCCAAGGAGAAGCACTAATCAAAACCTGTGTGGAGCAATAGAGAAAAAAAAAAAAAGAACATACAAAACCAAGAACATAAAATTCTGTCTTACTAAGTATGGAAACCAGAGCAGCTATTAGTGTTTTTCTGTAAAAGAAAGGAAAAAGTTAATTTTTTTGCTAACTCTGTGAGCTACTTGCTCCTTAGGATCATTTTTAACCACTTCAGTCTCTGTGCTGTGAACATCTGTATTTGCTAAACTGAACACTTTTTCTTTTCCTGAACCGAAGATCTCTTTTTTTGAAAGCTTTCTAATAAACACTTCAGAGTCGTATAAGCTACAGTTTTCTCAACAAAAGCTGTACTAAGACTGGAGACGGCTAAATAATTCTGATACGAATGATCACGGTTATATTGTATTTTTGGAAGGGGGATGTGGGGAGGAGTTGGGATTTCCATTTGTTTGTTCATAGGAGAAGAGCAAAGTCTGAATTTGCAGGAAGGACAAGCAGTACTCCTGGAAGATTTTTAAACCAGGCGCAGACCAGTGGAGTGGAACAAAGTCATTTAAGTACCAAATTGGATTTTGATCCTCTAGAGGAAGAAAAGCAGCAACGGAAAGTCACCAGCAGATACTGTCCCAACAAGAAGTTGAGGGAAGAAATCCAGTGATGCTTGATTGAAACCTGCAAGAATACAATGGGGGTCCAGTAGCTTTTCTTACTGCTCTCCCGTTGCTGAGGGAGGATGAACAGTTGGACCAGCGCGCCTGTTGCTGCAGGAGGCCTATAAAGAACTGGTAAATGCAGCCCCTAAGATTCTGTGTCATACCTATTCAGGGACATGATCCAACCCAGCAGTTCTGCTCTTGCTTCCTTTTCTCTTACTGGAGAGATTGTTGTTAAGACAATGGTTTGCTCAGCTCCGCACCCCCCGCCCGTTAAAGTTGCTAGGATTTATTTGATGCAAAAAATTGGTAGAGAAAAGAAATATGCCCTTTCCACAACATCATCATAGAAAAAGAAGTACAACAGCAAAGCAGCAACGTATTTATGGTAAAAGTCCATTTCTTAACTCATTTTGATACAGTAATTAACGTTTCTCTACTTGCAGTATTTGGATAGATTTGGGTACTTTAGTTTCTCTGTCCATTAGAAAGTATACACAGGAATGGGGCAAGCTGGTGTTCTGTCTCAACTTGTATCAAATTACCATTAATTAATGATTATTTCAATGCAAAAATGAAGTAAGGATTTACTAGGATATGAATGTATATGGTTAAGCAATACTTGCCTGTTAAAGAAAACAAAACACCTTGAAAAAATCAAAGACACAGAAGCAAAATTTTGCCTATTAATAGAGACCTGGATATTTTTTTTCCATACCATTTGAAATTAGACCAGATCGGATTTTTAATTTTTTTTTTTTTTAATTGTCTAAGCAGGCTCATTCTCACTGAAATGAGGGAACTCTAAGTATCTAAACAGCTTTCTAAAATCTGGCCCAAAATTCACTTGATAGCTTTATTAAGTGTGCATCGCTGCTTGTGCCTATGTAAAAGCACAAAGTAACAGTGCAGTTCTTCAGGATATACACTGTGAATTCACCAAAGCAGTACTGAGAAGTAAAATTTATAATAGGAGTTACCGAAGGTTATCATCTGGTTTTCTTTGTACGAGTTAATTGGGCAATCAGATGCCTAATTTGGGCATGCTATTTCTGCAGTTGTGTACAAATTGTGTAATTTACATGCACAAGTGGCAAGATAATGCTTACATGCACGCAATTTCTTGATTTTTTTGCCTTACTGTGTTCTCCACATCATTTATAAAAAAAAGACTCTGAAATCTAGTAAGACCCTGAAATATATACACATGTGCGTGTATGAGTATTTTTATATATATATAAAACTACATAATACATAGTTTTATATATATATAAAAAATATCTGGGATCAACAGGGAAGAGAAAAATTGTGTGCTTTATAAATACAAAACCCAAGACACTAAAGGTCAGTGGATATACATAGCCACTGTATTGTCTTCTTTCCTCTTAGTAAAGTGTGGGTCATGGATTTGCTTTGGATGTTTTATTTTTTGTTTCCTTAGTAAAGTACCTCAGAGTAATTCATAGTCATTTCGCCTTCAAACACTGAGCTTGCTGATGGTCTGTTTACTTTGGTAGAACTTGGAAAATGTGGGTCTTTTCCAAGATACTCTTGCCAGTTTGCCCCTAAGACTAATTATAAAGTGTTCCATAATTAATTTGACTATTGTAGACTGACAGTATTTGCCTATATATTAGTTGTTCCCATCCTTTTATATTTTCCCTTTTTGCTTTGGAGGATTTTTTTGAAAATAATGTATCAGATTGTATATTGTTTCTATAATGTCATGGCATTGTGAGCACCTTTCCCAAGGGCACTTTACGAATTATCGTAATAAGATTATTCCTTATGAATTTCTGCACGGAAAAATGGTTTTGTTGCCAGACCAGACTGCCCTCTGGTATGCATTTGATATGGATTACGTATAGGCCACAAAAGCCACAAGTCATCAAAACAGGATAGAAAGTTGGTGTTAACAAAACAAAGGACAGAAGATACTTGATAAATCCTGCCAGGACAAAGCTAAATCACCGGTATTTTTACACAACCTTTAATCTGCAGTTTGTATTAAATCAGTTTTGCATCTTAACGGCTGTGGCATTTTGATTCCAAAGTAGGCACTCTGCGAGTTACCCTGTCTCAACCATGGCCAGCGATAGCTAGACAGCACGGCCGTCTGGACCTGCGTGAAGTGTTCACCAGTCGCTTCGTGCTTTGAACTCGGATGACTTCATGTCACACGAGCACTTCGGCACCCACCGAGGTCCCCTTCGCCCTCCTGACACACCCAGCAAGAACAGAAATGTCAGCAAAGCCTTTCCTGTGCTGGCAGTACTGACCGTAATCTGGAATAACCTCTTCGTTTTTCAGTCTCTTGCTTCTGTGTTGCTTTAAGCTGCATTGCTGTCCTCCTAGCATCCGATTCATCTCACGCTTCTGCACCGGCCTCTCCGAAAGAGCCCAATTTCTTTGGTTTCCCAAGGAAGAGCTAGCCTGAATGCTGTGGTCACTTACTGTCATCGATACACACCATTTCCCCTGTTGGTTTCTCTGTGGGAGGTAGGTCATTGTCTCTGAGCTCAAGTCAGAAAGAACGGCCTGAAGGCATCGCACAGTCTCTGTGTGCTACAGGGATTTGGATGTGGGTTCATTTATGTCAAGAGCCAGAACTTCCTCCTGAGATATAAAAATGGAAGGATCTATTTTATTGAGTTTAACCACTGAATTAGAATTGATGCTGGTAACAGAAATTGCCAACATCAGTATGAGTGGAGATCAACTGTAGAGATCCCAGATATTTTTCTTCAGGAGTTTTCTTGCTATAACAAAGCTATTTCCTACTTCCCCGTTTTCCCCATCCCCCAAAAGGTCTGGAAAATGAGATAATTTTGGAAGTGGGAAATTTGAATGGCAATTTTGAAAATGTGACTGTGCTCCAACTACTCTTAAATGAAGCTATTGGACGTTACAAACTCGGATCATCGTAGTCATAAAATGGTTTCCACCCATAATAACGTGCCTGATTCTCTAGTGCCTTGCACAACTGTAACAGGATACACAAGATGCAAAGTGAGCAAAAAACTCTTCCATTCCAGTTTGCAGGTTTACGCTTACTTTTAATCAATACCAGTTGTCACCTGGCAGGTATTTGTTGTCACGTAAGCCAGACCTGTAAGCCCTCCATGTGTGAATAAGCTGAGCAGAATGCCTCTCTGTTGAATTACTTTTTCCAAATCATTAACCTGCTGTGAACGTTAGCTATCTAATGGTCTACAGATTCCTTGCACCCGTTCGCTATCGCCGACATCAGTCTATTCATTCCCTTTCCCCTTCATTTCTTTTAAGATAATGACTAGGTCGGCAACACAACAGGAGGCAAAGCTTTAGCCAGTAGTTCTTGTAGAACCTGCATGTAAGAACAGATTCCAGCTCCATGCAATATCCCAGGTGTTCCTGTCACTGACTTCATTTTTTTTGTTCATTCTGATCCAGCAAGTCGGGATGGTTTTCTGTTTCTTGCTATGGTCTGGGACCAGCTAGAGTGACCCTGACCCTGCCACGAATTGAGGACAGTCTTCGTACGTGTGGCAGTACAAAGGGAGTTCTCGCTTCCCCTGCCTGTAAATACATTGAAACACCATCTCCGAAACAGGACATGAAATTAGAAGCTTGCTAGCCAGGTGCAGAGACAGAAGAGGTTGCCAGCGAGGCTCATTTGGGTTGGTTCAAACTTCAGTCGTCTGTTGGAGAAAGTTGTGCTGCGCCTTTTCTTAGAAAAACTTTGATAAGGAAATGTTTGTAAAGTCTCACCTTGGCATTGTATTTATGCTTTATTCAGTCTTCCTGTAAGGTGGTAGAACTGGAACTGAGACCTGTGCGGAGTATGGGATTTAATCTGCATGCGTCAGGATTTTTCTGGTAGGTAACTGTGGGCTGTGGCAAAGTGTCATAGCATAGCTTTTGTTCTAGTACAAGTTCTGGAGAGTTTTATGGCACCTTTAGCAAAATAGCTAGAAAGTAAGTCAGGAGCAAAAAGCAGTCAAGCTGAGGGTTTCAGTACATTCTGTATCTGTCTGCTGGACATAGGCAGCCCTTGTCTGCATGTACGTGGAGCTTGAAAAGCTTCAAGAGTGCAAAAAAGCCGATGCACACCTATAGCTGATAGTGCCCACTTGAACTGTTTTTTCCATCTTAGACTACTGTGCTTTCTCATTGACCGCGCTCTCACTTCTGTCCAAATGCAAGGTTAAAGAAGATGTCTGTCTTCCACCTGCAACTTTTTCAGTTTATTCCTCAGTACGAAAAATACGAATCATGTTTTTTGTGCTTCACACAGACCATTTTTAGTAGCGATCAGGAAAGACCCTGAAAACAGAAATCAGCCTGTTCCTGATGGCACCAAGCAGCATGACTTACGGGTTGCTCCTATGCTTGCTGGTACTCACAGCAAGAACTCATTTGGCCAGTCAGCTTATGAAATGTAAGGAAATAGAT